TGTAGTCCCAGCTACTCGGGAGGCTGAGGCAGAAGGATTGCTTGAGCCCAGGAGTTTGAGGTTGCTGTGAGCTAGGCTGACATCACGGCACTCACTCTAGCCTGGGCAACAAAGCGAGACTCTGTCTCAAAAAAAAAACAACAAAAAAACCAATAATGGCTATCTATAACAAACCCACAGCTAGCATCATAGTGAGTGGGGAAAAATGGAAAGCCTCTAAAATTTGAAGAAAACAAGGATGCCCACTTTCACCAGTTGAATTCAACATAGTAGTGGAAGTCCTAGCCAGAGCAATTAGGCAAGAGAAAGAAACAAAGGGCATCCAAGTTGGAAAGGAAGAAGTCAAATTACTGTTTTTTTCAGATGATCTGATATTATATCTAAAAAACCTAAAGATTCCACCAAAAAACTGTTAAAGCTGGTAAATAAATAGGGTACAGTTTCAGCATATCAAATCAACATACAAAAATCAGTGACATTTATATATATCAACAGTGAAAAAACTTAAAAAAAAGTATAGAAAGCAAATTCATTTATAATAGCTACAAAAAATATAAAATGCCTAGGAATAAATTTAACCAAAGAAGTACAAGATCTTTACAAAGAAAACTATAAAACGTGGACAAAAGAAATTGAAGAGGACACAAAAAAGATATCCCTTGTTAATGGATTAGAAAAATAAATATTGCTAAAATGTCAATACTACCCAAAGTGATCTACAGATTCCATGCAATCCCTATCAAAATACCAATGACATTTTTCACAGAAATAGAAAAAAAACCCCTAAAACTCATATGGAACCACAAAAGACCTGAAATAGTCAAAGCAATCCTGAGCAAAAATAATAAAGCTGGAGGCACCATACTACCTGACTTAAAAATAGACTATAAAGCCATAGTAACCAAAACAGTATATACTGGCATAAAAACAGACAAATAGACCAATGGAATAGAATAGAGAGTCCAGAAAGAAACGCACACATTTACAGTCAACTCATTTTTCAACAAAAGTGCCAAGAACATAAACTGGGGAAAGGACAGTCTCTTCAATAAATGGTGCTGGGAAAACTGGATAATCATATGCCAAAAGAATGAAGCTAGACCCTAGCTCTCACCATATACAAAAATAAAGTCAAAATCGATTAAAGATTTAAATGTAAGACCTGAAACTATGAAACTGGGTAAAGTCATTCTGGGTAAGACCTCAAAAGCACAGGCAACAAAAGCAAAAAGAAACAAATTGGATTACATCAAGCTAAAAAGCTTCTGCACAGCAAACTATCAAGAGAATGAAGAGACAACCTACAGAATGGAAGAAAATATTTGCAAACTGTCCACATAACAAGGGATTATAACCAGAATATATAAGGAATGAAACAACTCAATAGCAAAAAAAATCCAATTAAAAAATGGGCAAAGATCTGAATAGATATTTCTCAAAAGAAGACATACAAATGGCCGACAGGTATATGAAAAAATGCTCCACATCACTAATCATCAGGAAAATACAAATCAAATCTCAGTGACATATCATCTCACCCAGTTAAAATAGCTTTTATTAAAAAGACAAAAACAAAACAAAACAAACGAACAAAAAACATGCTAGTGAGGATGTGGAGAAAGGGGAAGGCAAATTAGTACAGCCATTGTGGAAAACAGTATGGAAGTTCCTCAAAAACTAAAAAGAGAACTACCATATGATCCAAAATAAAATAAATCAGTATATTTAAGACATATCTGCACTCCCATGTTTATTGCAGCACTATTCACAATAGCCAAGGTATGGAATCAAACTAAGTGTCCATCAACGGATGAATAGATAAAGAAAATGTGGTACATATACACAATGGAATATTATTCAGCCAAAAAAGGAATAAAATCCTGTCATTTGCAGCAACATGGATAGAACTAGATGTCAGTTGATGGATATCCCAATTTTCCTGATTTGATCATTACACTTTGTATGCAAAATCAAAATATCATGCATACCCTCAAAATACATACAACTCTTATACATCAATTTAAAAAAGAAAGAACTCACCAATTATCTAGTAAAATATTCAACTATAGTTAGAATATATGAATGTGCAGTAGATAAAATTAGTTTTGAATATTTTTTAAACATGATTAGAAAAGCCAATGTCTAGAAGGCTAGCGGAGAAGTGGTCCATAGTTGGAATCTGGCAACATGAAATCTGAAGAATTGGCTAATGACAGATTCTTCAGAACTAGAGCACTGTCAAAATTTCTGATGAAGGGAATAGGTAATTAGGCAAGTGAAGTCACAGAGACACTCCAGGAACTAAAAGGAAGAAGGAATATAATATAAATGGAAGGCAGGTAAGAAAGAGTGAAACATGTAGAAAACTGTTATTAAAGCAAATATCACACTGCACCTACCTCAGTTCACTGAACACATTAAATTTTTAAAACACTATAAAGCAAGCTGATTTTTTAAAAACTTTCAAATTTTGAGTCAACAGATGTGAACCAACTACTTCCTAGCAAATCACTTAATCTCTGTGAAGCTGTAAAATGAGAGTAAAATTTTTTACAATTTTTTATCTTTTACTAGAAAGACAACTACCTCATGAAGAGTTATAAGGCTTACATTTCATAATGGATGGAAGAGCTTTGAAAACTATAAAAAAAGATATACAAATGTTGTACATAGTTCTTTTTCTTTTTAATGTTCACTTTCAATAGGTATATTTTCTCATCATAAAGTTAGTATAGCAATAATTATTGTAGGAAGTGAACTGTTTAACTTTTTTCTCCTGTCTTATTAGCTGATTTGCTGGGAAAGGTTATAATAGGCCAAACCAAAAATGTTTTAAGAAGTAATATGGATTTTCTTTGCTTAGAAATTGTTTTTTATTTTAAATATTTTAATTATTAATATTATTATATATTTAGATCAAAAGCCATAATGAAAATGTATACTAAAAGTATTTGCTTTAATTTGAAAAACAAATAATTAAAAAGAAAATTTTTCTATATATTAATGTAGTTTTTCCTTGCCCCATTGTAACTCAGAACAAATAATTCTTATTGCTAAAAAGTTTCTTACTAGAATTTGTCTCGTAATTTGAGTTGTGATTTCTTTGGCATCCAAGACAATCGATGGTGGAAGTGATGACACCTCTGCAGCTTTTAATCCTAAAATTATCAAAATAAAATGGAATTCAATATTATTATTGCCGGTATTTTTATGTTTGTTTTAACTAGTATTAATTTTTTCTTCACAGAGAAGCTTCCCTTGTATAGGCATATAGAACTCAATCCTCAAAATTAAGTTTTCCAAAGTTCTAGACGACAACTGACCAATTATTAGATTTAATTAATTCTCCAAAATATGTAAGGCAAATTAGAATATCAATTACCTCTCAACATACCTCTGAGATTGCAGGAAAAAAAAGAAGTAATTAGAAAATAATAGCATTGAACTTCCAATTAGAAATACAGTTGGTTAATAGAAGGTCAAAGGATACATGAGTTTTGCAGAGGAGAACATCTAGTTACAGAGCTAACAATACAGCTGAATGTTCATCTACCTAGCATATCAATGAGACAGGAATTTCTCAGAAGGTGTAATGGTAGGTGACTACTCCTTATGCAAATTAAAAGTATTAACTATATTTTCATGTTTTCAGAACTTAATTTTATTGAATAAATGCCATATAGGCTCTCTACTATGTGCCAAGAGTTTACTGTACTTATTTCTTTAGAAGCAATAGAAGCAATATCAACATTTATTGAGAAGTTATTAATTGCTAGGCACTATGCTAGGCAGTTCACATTTGATAATTCATTGAATCTTCACAACTCTACATATATGGAAAATTATCCCCATTTCATAGAAAATGAAATTGAAGCTTATAAAGATTAAACATCCGATACAAATAAGTTATCCAGTTGATTTCCCTTTTCAAATAGCAAGCAAAGATATTTTTCTTTCCCTCAAAGGGTCATAACCATAGCTAAAATAATTTTCTGAACTTTTATGTACAGATCAATTGAAAATTCTCTGAATCTGTAAAATTTAATGATTTCTATAGAATGTATCTAATCAAGTTTCAGAACATCATATGGTTTAGTAATACATTATCTTTTAAGATTTTAGATTTAATTATTAAGTACGCTGAACCTGAGAAAACAGACGAAGAACTCTGCTACTGAAAGCATGTGTAGGAAATATATAATTTTCAATTCATTGTATAACATGCAAATATAAACTAAATTACATTTTTCTAAGGACAGAAACTAATATTTCTAGGGCCTTCATGTGTCATATTTCTACATAGTTACTGGTTCAAATAAGTTTAAAAGTAAGAATAATATATGTATAATATGAGTTGGACACAGGAAATACAGTCTAAGACAATATAAGCACTCAAAAGAACAAGAGGGGAAGTTGTTTTGATTGATAGCCAAGTAAAGGGGAAATAAAAGTTTGTCTTAGAAGAATACGTAGTGTTTCAATGTATAGGTATAATTTCTACACACAATACCATAATTTTTTTCTTCTGTAAGTCCCTTAGAAAGTTTGTAGGTATACAAAATTGCTTCTTTATTTCTTGAAGTATTCTTTACATGCTGAACTTCAAAATGCATGTTTTCTACATTAGGATACAGGACATCTATATGGCACAGTTCCATAAAATGTGTAGCAAACAGTGTAAATGCCTAGAATATATAATAGACAATGAATATTAGTATCTTTTAAATTAACTAGAAAACTCTATTTTAACTATGTAAATATAAAATTTTAGTTTAATTTTCCAAGTAGCTTGGCAGGGGTGTAAGAACGAAACTAATAACTTGGAGGCTAACATGGTCAATCCATTTCAAAATGTTCTGAAAATGTATATTCAATGAGGGAAGCATGTTTATTATGTTTGCACATATAAAGGTATGTTACATTATGGGAAAGAGAATAAAACCAAACACAAAATCTTAAGAAATATATCTGAAGATACTGAAAAGATGAAGTATACTGGAAACAAAGATATTAACTGAGATAATAATTTATTAGGAAGGTAACCCACACACCAAAAAAGTCATAGCACTTCCTTCAACTTTTAAAAAACTGTAGTATAAAAGTAGCTTCCCTCCTTGTAAGTAGTTTTTTGACAGTGAAATCAATGGATTATCTTAGAAATCTGAAATTCTAAAAGTTTCTAGTTTTTAGATTTATATTGTGTTTGAGCTAGGTACTTGTAGAAGAAAAAAGAAAGAAGGTGGATAGCAAGAGAAGGAATAGTTTTATATATGATTAAAAAATGAAAATTCTTAACTACATACTCAGCAAATCAAAAAGGGTATAAAACAAACCAAATTTATAAAGCTACAGGAAAATATTTAGAAACCAGTAAATTATGTAGAAGCTAGGGATCATGTTGAACAACAATAATGTCCTTAAAAATTATGTATCAAACCAATCTATTATAGTAACTTTGTAAACTCTATTTCAGGTTAATTCAATTTAGCAAATAATTATTCAGGTCCTGTATGTTTCAAGGATTGTGCTAGGCACTAAGGGGACTAGGTTAGAAAAATAATAAATAACTTTAAGCTCCTTAAAAGTAAGTAGCAATATCATATTTTTACTAAATTATTTATATTAGAAAAGAATATTCAAAAGTAATATGAAAAGCACTATTCTTAACTATTACAGGATGCTTAAAAAAGATATTGTATTAGGGTTCTCCAGAGAAACAGACTGACAGGATGTGTATGTGTGTGTGTTTGTGTAAAGAGACTTATTATAAGAAATTGGCTCATGCAATTATGGAGGCTGACAAGATCGAAGATCTACAGTAGGCAAGCTAGAGACCCAGGAGAGCCAACGGTATGATTCCAGTCTAAATACTGGCAGGCTCCAAACCCAGAAAGAGCTGATGTTTCAGTTTGAATCCAAATGCAGGAAAGAACCAATCTTCCAGATAGAAGGCAGTCAGGCAGGAGGAGTTCCCTTTTACTCTTGGGAGAGTCAGCCATTTTTTCTATTCAGGGTTTCAATTTATTGAATGAGACCTACCCACACCAGGGAGGGCAACCTGCTATACTCAGTCTACCAATTCTACTGCTAATCTCATCCAGAAACCCCCTCAGTCAACGTTATTGCATGTGAAACAATTAATGAAATGCCTTCATATTCTGCTATTTAATTTGATTAAATTAAAGCTAACTGACTAATTTTACATTATTTATATGTGTTGATTTCCTTCTTTCCTTGTCTATATCATGGCTATCATATTAATTATTCCATTTTTATCAGAAATGAAGAAACAAAAATATAAATGCTTAGTACCTAAATTGTGTAAAAAGCTATTTGTGGGCACCTGTAAAATCCAATCATGATAAATACATAAAGAATACATGAAAAATGACTCGACATTAATATACTTAAAATAAAAGTGAAGAATACCAGAAGACCAGCAAAATGAGGCAGCTGGTGTGCCTCTCTTCAGAGAGCAATCAGGATACCCATCAAATACCCATATGTTGAATATATCATCGGAGAAAGAAGATTGAAAATAACAGATAGGTGACAGGGAGACACTGAGGATGAAGGTAGAGGCTGAACTGTCTGCTTGGGACCACTGAAAGCCTTGAGCAGCCCCCAGACTCAGACCCAGGGAAGGGGTAAGCCAGGGACCTTTAGGGCTATACATTTCCATCTCAGGCCTTTACACTTCCCCAGAGCTAGCTGGGGAGCTCTTTCCCCAGTGCTCTAAGCTCTGCCTGAGGCTGCTGCTGACCCGCTGCCAGGGCAAGGAGAAAGACAGGAACCTGGGTGATCTCCTATGCCCCCAAATCAACTTACACTGACACACCTGTGGGCTGCTGCAGGACCATGGGGTGTTCAATCCAGAGTTGCCTGCCTGGCTGCTCCCACAGAGAGGGATATACCCACCCTATGGCTGGACTGCAACTGAATGGCAGTAGGCTTCCTTGAGCATTCCATGGGCCCCTACCCATCTCTCCCTGTCTCAGTCAGTGCTTGAATTCAGGGGGCCTGAGCACAGATCTGTAGGTCTGATACCTTACTCCTAAGACTCCATCATGTCATTCAGGGGCATGGATGGGAGATTTGTGAGCTGATTTCAAGTGAGGAGGGAGCCCTGTGGGTAGAACTGAGAGGAGCTTGTGGTGTGGGTCCGTGCTGTGGAACACATGTAGGCCACAGCTCCCCCAACAGGAATGGCTGCAGAATCCATGCTTTCTGTCCTGGGCAGAGAGGCTTGCAACCTCCAAGAGTTTTGCTGCTTGAATGTGGTTGTCCTTTGATTGGCTGGGTCAGTTTGGCCGGCTGCTGGTGGTGTAACCGGCTCCATAAACAAGAAAACATTTTTTATATTTTTTTTCTTTGTAGTTCTCTTATGTTTCAAGTTCCCAGGCCAGTAAGATTTGCTGACCAGAACTTTGTAACTTTCTGTTGCACTGATGAATTCCCTTTTGAGTTCCTTTCCCAGTAACAGTGGAGCATCCTTGTGGCCACAAGATAACTACAAAGCTTTACACCACCTGTCTGTCTGGAGAAGACATGATAAGCAATACCCCACTACAGATTGTGCCCAAGGACCCACTATGCCTGCACACGGGCTAACAGAATGACCAATATTAACCCCTAGCTCATTATAATACTAAAATTCCCACCCTGGGAGGGACTTATCCACCATTTTTGATCATGGGATGTATGTACTAGCATGATTACTCACTGTACTTGCATATCCTGCACTCCACTCCAAACACGTAATGATGCTCACTCCCCTCATGAATTATTCATTTCACCTCCAGAAAACCACCTGAGCCTGTTGATCAGGTAGGTGGATTTGAAGCAGTTCCTACCTCCCTCCTCCCAGTTGACATGTCCACCGTAATAAATCCTTTCTTCTTGACAATCCTTAGTGTCTCAGTAATTGCCTTTCTGTGTAGTGAGCAACAGTGAACCTTCTTGTGGGATTGGTAACAGTGGTCAGATGCAGAAGGGAGATTCGCTGAGTAAGGCGAGTGGGAGCTGAGTGACCCTACCCCCGCCCACTGGACTGTGGATGCTGGACTGCCCCTCCCCCATGGGCAGGTTCTTTGGCTGGTGGGGGTGCCTCTGCTTCTTCCTGGAGGATTCCCCCAGTGCCAGGAGCTGACTTCTAACACCTGAGATGGCACATGCGCCCACCTTTGGGGATCCTCCCTTGCCCAACCCAGCACTTTCAGAGCTTGAAGTCAAGGCTTTTGAATTAACCCAGTAAGTCAAAAATAAAACAAATCAAAAGAAATGATGAAAGGCCAGCTTCACCCCTTCTCATACGCCTTGGCAGTGGTTCAGCACAAGAAGAACCCCCTGAGAGTTCCAGTGCCTTGCCAGTGCTTCTCATGATTGATTATGGCCAGGCATGGGTCCCACAAACACCACCACAGCTGTCTTTCTTCTTCAAGTGCCACCTACTGGTAAGGAGGTCAACTTGTACAGCCCATTACATCATTTGTTGATTCACTTGTACAGGGCTTGACTGATTTTTACCTGCAAGCATGGCCTGGAGACTAAATTGGATGTCCCAATATAATTCATACTGTTAGAAGTGCACAAGGCTGGGGAAAGAGATAAGATTCCCGAGACTTCTATCTCCATTTCTCAACAGGAGGCAGTAAACCTGCCCACATGCATAGTACACCACCACTACAGGCCACAAATAACTAGCATTTGAGAAAACCACCACACTAGAACTATCTACAATCAAAAAATTCTTTCATAGCCTAGGCCTCCTCAAAGTACCCACAAAAAAAGCCAAAGGTCCTTACCCAACATATGGTACAGTCATAACCTTAAAGGGGTGGGGGGTGGGAAATGTCCCATCTAAACAAAAGAAAATTCAAAAACAAGAAGTGACAGTCTCTGGATAAAAAGGAATCTGTGTAAGAACTCTGGCACTATGAAAAAACAGAATGTAACAACCCCCCAGAGGATCATGTCTGCTCTCTTAACAATGGATCCCAACCAAAATGAAAATACTGAAATGACAGATAAAGAATTCAAATTATAGGTTGTAAGGAAGCTCAATGACATCTAAGAGAAATAGCAAACCAACTCAAAGAAATCAGAAAAACAATTCAGGACATGAATGAAAAATTTACTAAAGAGATAGATATATTAAAAAAAAATAAAACTTCTGGAAAGAAAAAATTCATTTAGGGAAATAGAAAACACGATGGAAAGTTTTAACAATAGACTAGACCAAGCAAAAGAAAGAATTTCAGAGCTTGAAGACAAGGCTTTTAAATTAACTCAGTAAGTCAACAATAAAAAGAATCAAAAGAAATGAGAAATATCGGATTACTTAAAATACTCATACATAAGAACATAGGTATCCCTGAGGGTGAAGAAAAAGCAAAAAACTTGGAAAACCTACTTGAGCAAATAATGGAGGAAAACGTCCCTGGTCTTGCTAGAAATTTAGACATCTAGATACAAGAAGCTCAATGGACTCCTGAGAGGTTCACTGCAAAAAGGACATCACCAAGGCAGACATGCATATGTTGAATCATCCTGGTATCTCTGGGATGAATTTTACTTAATTATGGTGTATTTTAACATGGTGTTATATTCAGTTTGCTAGTATTTTGTTGAGAATTTTTGTATCTATTAATATGTTCATCAGGGATAGTGACCTGTAGTTTTCTTTCCTTTCTTTTTTTTTTTTTTTGTATCCTTGTCTGGTTTTGGTATCAGGGTAACGCTGGCCTCATAGAGTGAGTTTGGAAGTATTACCTGCTCTTCAAGTTTTTGGAATAGTTTGAGTAGAACTGGAATTAGTATGCAAATCAATAAATGTGATACATCACATTATCAGAATCAAGGACAAAAATTTCAATAGATGTTGAAAAAGCATTTGTCAAAATTCAAAATCTCTTCATAACAAAAACTCTCAATAAACTGGGTACAGAAGGAATATACCTCAAAACAATAAAGGCCCATATTACAAACCCACAGCTAACATCATACCGAATGGGGAAAAATGGAAAGCCTTTCCTCTAAAATTTGAACAAAACAAGGATATCCACTTTCACAAGTTTTATTCGACATAGTACTGGAATGCCTAGCCAACACAATTAGGCAAAAGAAGGAAAAAAGGGACATCCAAATTGGAAAGGAAGAAGTCAAATTTTCAGATGATATGATATTATACTTAAGGGACTGAGATCCCAAAAGCAAATACAATAAAAAAAATAAATGGGACTTAATCAAACTAAAAAGTTTCTGCATAGCAAAAGTAATAATCAACTGAGTAAACAGACAACCTACAGAATGGGAGAAAATATTTGCAAACTATACATCTAACAAAGGACTAATATCCAGAATCTATAAAGAACTCAAACAAATAAGCAAGACAAAAACATAACCCCATTAAAACATGGTCAAAAGACATGAACAGACATTTTTCAAAAGAAGATAGACAAATGGCCAGCAAACATACGAAAAAATGCTCAAAATCACTAATCATCAGGGAAGTGCAAATTAAAACCACAATGAGATGCCACCTCACTCCTGTCAGAATGGCCATTATTAAAAAGCCAAAAAACAGTAGATGTGGGCATGGATGTGATGAAAAGAGAATGCTTATACACTATTGGTGGGAATGTAAATTAGTACAGCCTCTATGGAAAACGGTATGGAGATTCCTTGAAGAACTAATAATATGATCTACCATTTGGTCCTGCAATTCCACTACTGGGCATCTACCCAAAAGAAAAGAAGTCATTATATCAAAAAGATACCTGCACTCATATGTTTATGGCAGCACAACTCACAATTGCAAAGATATAAAATCAACCTAAGTATCCATCAACTTATGAGTGGATAAAGAAAATGTGGGGTATGTGTGTGTGTGAGCATGTCTGTATGAAAGAATGAAATAATGTCTCTTACAGCAACTTATATGGGACTACAGGCCATTATCCTTAGTGAAGTAATTCAGGAATGGAAAAACAAATACCACATGTTCTCACTTATGAGTGGTAGTAAACTCTGGGTATGCATGGTCATACACAGTGTCACAATGTACACTGGAGATTCAGAAGGAGGAGAGTTGGGGGGCAGATTAAAGGATGAAAAATTACCTATCAGGTACAATGTATACTGTTCAGGTGACAGGTACACTAAAAGCGCAGACTTCACCACTATACAATTCATCCATGTAACAAAAAACCATTTTTATCCACTAAATGAGGAGGGGACGGGTATTTGTATACACAAGGAGTGCAATGCGCACTACCCGAAGGATGGACATATTTGAAACACGGACTTCGGTGGGGGGGGAACCAAGGGCAACACACGTAACCTAAACGTATGTACACCCATAATTTGCTGAAATAAAAAAATAAAATAAAATAAAATAAAAAAATAAAAAATAAAAATAAACTAAGCAACAGTTAAATGAATATATCCTTACTAAGTTAGCAGAAACATATTTGATAATAGAACACTTGAATTTTTCTAATTCTCAATGTATATTCCTGGGGTTTAAAGCCCCAAATCTGTGGTCAGATAAGACTGGAAAAGATGGAACTCTTTTGCAGACTCACAATAAACATTATTAAAACCTCTGGGGGAAAAATACCTTTAAGCTCAGTAGATATTCACAAACAGCATAACAAATGCCTATACCTTCTTCTGTATTAGTACCTCTGCCAAGTTCATCAATTAATATGAGTGATTTGTCATTAGCATTATGTAGAATATATGCTATCTGAAAAACATAATGTTAATATTATTCATTGTAACCAAACAGCTGTCACTATCAAAGAAAAAATAAGGAGAAATCCAGTCTCTTTATTAGTTCATCTGAAATGTATTTTTATAGAGGAATCCTGCTTAGCAGAAAATATTACATTGCTTTTCTTTCCAAAAATCTCATGACTAGTAATTACAATAGAATAGCTGATGTGTATATAATATATCTATGCATACGTGTATGAGACAACACAGAATAAATAACCTTTACCTAAAATACTGATGTTTTAGATACAGTAAAACAAAACTGTGAATTAAATGTTTAAATAAAGCACAAAGATGGTCATTTTCTTCTCCACAAATAACTAATCAATTGCTGTCATAAAATACTGAAAACCATCTCTCAAGTTTACTTTAATATCTCTTTTATTCAGTAAAGATGGAAAGAATAATTTAGGAAAAACTACCTAAGTCTTGATTCTTGGTTTAACAAACACATTTAAATCCATGACCAAGAAAGACCAAGACAAATTGACAGAAATGCTCCTTCCTCAGTGAGGATTATTAACCTCTTCCTCAAAAAATAGAATTCCACCTTTACTATATTATGACACAAGAGTAACTTTCGTAGACATTTCACCTTTCTATGAAACTAAGGTTCTTGAGAGTTAGGACCATTTAAAAATATACTTCAAGTACCTATTAATAGTATATTCCTATATTCTCCTATAGATATTCAATATGTAATAAATAATTTTGTAAATTGTGGCACAAATGATAACTTTGTTCAATTCCTATTTACTTGCCCGAAAATTATCCAACTGTATAGTGATCCAATAATTCCTACCTAATACAGATATCCCAAGAGCTATACTTAATTCTTTTAGCCCTCAAGCCTACTTGACATTTGCTCAGATAAAAAATAGGTGATGATACATACTCTGGTACAGAAAGTATAAATTCTATAAGGACAAAGAAGAGGATGATTTTTTAAAAGCCTTCTAACAGTGATCTTTTATTTTAAAATCAAGCCTCTGAGGAACAATAATACTACGTAAAATAGTACTGAACCAGTCGTCATTTTCTGAAAAGTCTTTTATATATTCCATATAAAAACATTTAAGCACACTTTTATCACTCAATAACACTATTTTTTCTTTTAAAACTGTATTTTTCAATAAAACATTCACTTCCTTTTCCACAGAAGACGGAAATTAGGAAGCTGTCTTTTACTGCCCTCTGGCTCTTAGAAAGGGGTATAAGCACATCTGTATGCTTTAGTGTAAGGATACTTTCTCACATGATAACTGGCCATTAGTGGAAGAACTTTTTAACATAACATTTTTCTTTGGATACCTCTTTCATTTCCTTCATAAATGTTGATGAATTTGTTTCAATATCATCATCAGTACTGATTCTTGTAAAAATCTGTTTAGCAATTCTAAAGGAAGAATATTCTGCTGGAACATATGATCCTGTAAAGTATAAGGTCAAGGTAAATTAAAATACTTTTATAAAATATAAATACTAACAACATTTTGCACTTCTCATATTATTTACTAGGATAATATGCTTGAAAGAGCACTGGATATGGAGTTAGAAGACATGCCCTGAGTTCTATCACCTATTGTATTACCTTAAATAGTACTTAAACTCTCCCTATCTCCTCTTTCTCATATATAAAATGAAAATAGTTGCCCTACGTACTGTACAAAGTTATTTGGAAGTTGATAGTATATGTTCAAGTCCATTAGAAACATATTGTTATAAACTTGATAAAAAATTTAAATAATTTAGTTAAATGATAAAGAATATTCAATGTATGAAAATTTGAAGGAAATGTTTATAAAGCTTATAAAATATGAAATAAAAAAATTTAAAGGAAATGCTTATAAAACTCAAGTTGATAAAATAATTATAGAAAGATATTAGGAAATATCTATGTTATTACAAATATGCAGAAATATCCAGAAGCAGAATGAAAGCAAAACATGTAATAAAACAAAAAAGAGGTGAGTTTTTATCCACAAAATTGTTTCTGTCTGAGAAGTTATTGTGCTAACTAATCTAAAATACTCATCTTGTGAAAACAAATCAATCTGATTAATGCACCCATCTCTATACACAGTGAGATATAAAAGGCATTCTAACATCACAAGAAGATAAAATATACAAGTAGTTGAAATGGAAAAGCATCATATACACAGAACTCTGAATAGATAAAATGGGGAAATAATGGGAGTGAAGAAACAGAGCCAGATTACTCCAAAATTTAAAACAAAGGATGAAGGATTAAAGCCTAGCTCTGAGGAATAAGAACTAGCAGAAAAAGAATGCAAAAGTCAGGCTAATATTAATAAAAATAAAAGCAGTATTAGTAACAATAGTAACTATAATGCACCTACCATTTCACATACCAGGAATTTTATATTGTCTTAATTCTCAAAATAATCCATTGAATTAGCTATTATTTTTCTCATTTTACCAATGGAAAAGTGGAGGCCAAAGATCACAAAACTAGTTAAGATGTACCTCTTCCATGCTACTCCATTTTTTTTATTTTCTTAAAAGCATGGATTATAAACTTAGAGCAGCTTTTAACACATAATAATCTCATGGTAAATATTTGCTGAAAATAAATAATAAAGTGATGGAGCCAGAATTTGAATAAGAACTGTTTGGCTCAAAATGAAAACAAAAACAAACTTTCCATTTCTCCAAGATACCAGGAATGACCTGCTACCTTCTTAAGATTCTGGAGAAGGTGGGTCATTTCGTCAATTTAGAGCAAAGATTCTAGAGTCAGGCTGCCTGGGTTTGAATCCTGGTGTTGCTTCTTACAAGCTACATAATCGTGGACAAATTACTTCTCAATGCTTTGAATTACTCATCATAACGTAGAGTTAACAATATCTATCTTATTAGATTTTTATGATTATTAATTAGGTAATTAATACATGTATTATGATGATACATACAAGGTACACGGAACAGTGCTTGCAATAGTGAACACTCAGTGTTAGCTATTAGGGCAAGCTGGGTAGAAAAAGGCAAAAAACTGATCCTGGGTGGTCTTGAGCAATCCTTTGAGCCTGACTTTCCTCATTTTACAGACATTCAACAAATATTTATTGAAGGCCCATTATGTGTTGGGGTGAATAAAATAGACATGGGCTCTGCCCTCAGAGAGCAAAATTTATTGACTTCTTATATACAACTTTCTTACAAATTTTTTCAGAGGGATTAAATGGGAAAATAAATGTAAAATTCCAAGTAGAGAATACAGCATATATTAATATTAATTGGTATATGTTTGTATCTTCTCTGCTCTCTTACTCTTTGCCAGCATTTCTTATCTAGATTATCACAGAAGCCTCCTGGCCAGTGTTTTGCTTCTAGATGGACTCTATACACCAGCCAGAGTGATCTATCTAAAAGTCAAATCCTATCATGCTATTCTCTTGGTAAATTTCTTCAATACATCCCTACAAATTACTGGATAAAGTTCGGTCTCCTCAGGTAAGTACATAAGGCCCTTTGACATCTAACTCGTACCCATCTCTCCAGCTTTATCCCCCACCACTTCTCACAGTCACTCTTTGTTCTACAAAGCCAAGAAATTACAAAGCCTTGGGACCATTTGTAGTTCCTTGGGCACATCAATACTGTTTTTTGCTTCCATATTTAGAACATGCTCTTATCTCTGCCTGGAAAGTCTCCTTCTTTCTCATACCTTCCTCTTAAATCCACAGTATTTTATTTATATTATCACACTTAGTCCTTATGACAATTCTTAGAAATAGGTACTATTATAATCTTCATTTGCAAACAGGAAAACAAAGGTTTAAAGAGATTAAATAATTTACCTAAGACTACACAGCTAGTAACTGGGCAAGCTGGCAAGCTAGATCTACCTCCAGAGTTTATGTTCTTAACTTTCATGCCTTTCAAGTGCACTGTTGCCTTTTTGCTCAGACCATATGAGATATTATGCACACTTTTAGGAGTTTTATAGGTTAAAGATGGTCAATGACAAGAGAAATAGAATAATTATCTTCACATATTTGAAAAGTTAATATCAGGTGAAAGACTAGATTATTCTGTGATACATAGAAGAATTAGACTAATAAGCAAAAGTTATGGAAAGTCAGATTTCAGGTAAGTATAATGAATGCTCTAACAAGTAGAGCTGTCCAACAACTGGACAGTCTGCTTTTTAAAGTACAGAGATCCTCATAGTTATTGAAATAAAAGTATTGCTATTTCACATATGAGTCAGACAGTATTCTTGGAAGGGAAATCAGCTAAGATGTCCTTTTAATTCCAATAAAAATCAAACCTCAATAAAATATTTACCCTTCATTAATTCATTCATCTCTGATTTCCCTTTCCAATACAAGGGTGAATTTGTACTGTATCACCAATATTATCATTGCTGTGTTCCCCTTAGAATTCATTACATTAGATCAGGGTTTCTCACCCATGACACTATTAACATCTTGGACTCAATAAATCTTTCTTATGTGTTGATGAGGAGAGAGGGGAAGAGCAACTGTCCTGTGCACTGTAGGATGTTTAGCAGCATCCCTGGACTCTACATTTCCCACAATTGTGACAACCAAACTCTGGGGGTTGGAGGACCAAAACCACTCCTGGTTCAGAACCACTGCATTAGGGCCACACATCTCATCTCTGATTCATATGGTCCTCAAGGAAATTCAGTTTTCAGAGATAGGAGTTAAGTTGTGCCTCTACATCAAGAAATACATGACAATGTTGGGTCAGTGACAGCTATTTTCATGCATGTCTGCACATGTATACATATAATACATCAATTGCTGTAGCCAAGTTATTGGTACCCCTCAAATTAAGGGATATGTTTCTCTGCCCAATGTTGTAATTTCGGAAAAATCTCACAAGGATTATTAAAGGCAGCTAGCTGGTTATCCTACTCATTTTATTTTTTCTTACAACAAAGTTTGTTTCTGAACCTGAAATAATTACATGACTCAATTTAGTAATAACTGATACAACATTAATATAGTAAAGACATTACTACTGTAATATGCCACAAAATTTTTAGTGCAATGCAATCCAAATTGGTGGAGCTTAATGAATACTCAATAGTAAAAGTTATGATCTACATACTAGACATACTATTAATACTTTTAGGTAAGAGAATCTATTCCCAAATAAATTATCTGGACAACTAAAAATATATAGAAAAAATTAACCGGGCATGGTGGTGCATGCCTGTAGTCCCAGCTACTCGGGAGGCTGAGGCAGTAGGATTGCTTGAGCCCAGGAGTTTGAGGTTGTTGTGAGCTAGGCTAATGCCATGGCACTCACTCTAGCCAGGGCAACAGAGTGAGACTAAGTCTCAAAAAAAAAAAAAAAAAAAGGAGAATCTATTCCCAATTGTTCTTGGGTTAATTAGGCACCAGGCACAAACCACTTTGAAAAGAAAGCTGAATTGGTAACTATTAACATAAAGTAAAGCCGTAACTTACCAATCTGGGCCATAATCTGACAAAGAGCAATCTGTTTTAAATATGTGGATTTCCCACTCATATTTGGTCCAGTTATGATCAAAAAATTACTCCCTTCTGTGATATAGGTATTATTGGCAACAGGTTTTTCCACAGATATTTTTTCAAGAATGGGATGCCATCCCTGTTTGATTGCTAAAGTATCAGTAAACTCTGGTCGAACTGAAAGAAAAAAATAAAATTGTTTTAAAAGCTTAATATATTTTATTTATATCTAAAGATTTTGTAGTGTGTATGTAGCGTACCTGAGTGATTTTACTAGGGTCAATTTGGGACAATAACACTAAAGTATTATTTTATCCCACATGCCTGCCCAAATCCCTCTAAAGTATTAATATAATGGACACACTCTAATCACTATCACAACTTTTATTCACTTCCAGAGAATTCTAGAATTTAGTTCCCTTTCACTGCTCCAAAACAGTTTATAAAATTTTTAGATTTGCATAGGTTAGAAAGAACTAAGTAGCTACTGACAATACTTTTAAAACAACAATTGATTACCAGTACTACGGAATTGCACATTTACTTACCCTACCCTATATTCTTTCAAACGTTACCCTACCTTAAACATTATTTCCCTACTTTAAATACCATGCCAAATTTGGTATACTTAGCTTTCAAAATGAGGTATAAAATATAGAGTAAAGCCAAATACAAAAATAGTTTTCTGTCTAAGCCCTTGGAGAAATTTTGTCTAATAATGAATTTCAGGGGATAGAGCAAATCAGACACAAAAGATTTGTTGATTTATAGAAACAAATAATGATAAGGTCTCTATGGATACCATCCAAGATGGAGGGAGAAGAAAGAAGGTGGAAGGACAAGTGAAAACTAAAATGCTACATCTCTCTAAATAAAATACATAGATAAACTTGAAAACATTCATTATAAAAGTGATGTTGGTGAGAGGAAAAATTTTTAAGTACTTTCAAAAATTCAGTATTTATAGGTTTGGAGTTTTAGAACGGTCCCTCTCAAACTAAAATGGAACAAAATTAAATCTCTTAATAGTTAAGAAAACTACTATTGGAATAGCTGACCTCAAAAGGTAAGGTTTTGACTGCCAAGGAGATATAAAAGATTGAAAAGTTTTGGCCTTTAAAATACCAATGGAAAAAATTAATATTTCCATAAGAAATATGAAAAAATCTTTGTAAGGTACTCCCAATAAAAATGAATTAACATAATATTCTGGAAATGTTACTGCTAATTTTAACTAGAAATATTTTTAATGTTATTAAGTCTATAATTTTGCAACCATAATTACCACATACTAGTCCTGTAAAATTGCATACTAGAGAATGGTTATAACTGATAAGTTGGATAAGAAATCTCAAGGGGCTAACTTGAAGTTTTCATTCAACATGAGAAAATTACTTAACATCTATATTCAAGGCCTGTGTATACACTTGGGATACAGAAACAAATGACATAATTCCTGATCTTGGTATGCTCACGTCTAAGGAGCTAGTGGATGAAAATGCTCAATTTGGAGATTCATTCTTTTCTATTAGTATTCGTCACACCACTTCTAATGAGTATTCAGACTTGAAATTTATAAATTTAGATCATTGTCATTTTCACCAAGGATACAGCTATACAGTCTTTGTTTGAAAAATCTTTAAAGTTTTCTGCAATTTTTCTTTTTTGATTTGCTAATTTGTGAGTGAATAATTTTTTGACTTTTAAGAAATTTTAAGGGTAATTTCACTTTTTTGATTTTGTGTCTTAGTCTTTACATTTAGGACCATAGGCAAGAGACTATTAATATATTTCAAGTAAAAAATTTAAAACATTCATAACTTTTATATAAAATTGTTTAAATGGAGTACAAATTTTAGTCTGCAACACGTTTATTCCAAAGAAACTTACCATAGTCAGAAAGAGTGCAGGCATGAGCAAATGACAGCAGCATATCCAGCATTGATACAGTGTCAGATAGTTTATATAAGCAATGAATATGTTCATAAATCTCACTAAGCAGTTTGCACACTATCCTGAAAGTACATGTTTGGTAAGATATGTAATAATGCCTTTTAAAAGGGACATACAGTGTAATACTAAAATAATATTAAATTCATTGTCTGAGGTAATATTCACAGTTGAGTTGTACACTACAGATAAAGTCTATTGTTCAGTTGTCTCATTTTAGAGATGAGGAAATTGACGTTTTTGCTCAAGGTCGCAGCTACTTAGTGGCAAAGGATACATCTTCTGATGTATTAACAACATGTTTTTGAAACAAATGCTTATATTAAATATTAATAAAATACATTTTTATTAATAGAAATATTTTATATAGGTCAAATCAAGCCCTCACTATACTTGGACAGATCCCATCTGCTAATAATTTTGTGTTTTTGCAAATGTTAAATTCAACACAAAAGCTATTATGTATTTTCTCTCTCATCCATTTTCTCTGTCTCTGTTTCTCTAACTCACACACGTGCACACACGCACAAACACAATATCTAAATAATAAAGTTTTTATGTAGCAGAGTTATACTGTGATATAGTGCAAAAGTTTTTCCCTTACAAAGATAAATATCTACCCCAAACTTACTATATATTATAACGTTCATGGTCCATGCCCTGAAATTGTTTTGAAAGTACCTTTCTCTTCTATTATTTTAGCCTAATAAATGTTCTAAATGTTCTAGTTCTTCTTTCTAGCTATATTGCTACTGTTGCATGAACAGCAGAAGAACTGACACTATTGTGATACTGCTATGGAAATATCAAGGTATGAGAAGCTGAGGGCTCACAGACCACAGGAAAAGAATAAACTGCAGTCCAAGATGGGCACATGATGTGCAAAATTCAAATTCTACATCATGGCAGAATGTGTATTACACAAATATTGGTTATGATGATATTCTTTTGCAACTAGATTTGCCCTGAAGCTTCTGTGAAGCTCAGTGATCCTAAACACAATGATAGACTTTCTTTGCTAATATTCATAATTCTACAATGGTCTATAATCAGACAGAAAGCCAATTAATAAAATTTATGATAGTTCTTCAAATTAAACCAGTTTAATTTAATATTCAAATACTTCAAATGCTCTTACATATAAGTCATGTGATAGATTTCTCGCAAAGACTCTTGGCATCTTTCATTCATTTTAATTAAATCTGTTGATGTAAAGCTGTAAGAATTTTTCACTTTAGAAATCTGCCAGGAAATTAAAAAACAAATGTCAAGATACACGCACAGTCCTATGAAATAAAACATACAGATTTTAAATAAAAGAAATATAGGTAATTAGTTCAATCACTTTAATTTTGAGATACAATATCATAAAGAAAGTATTAAGTAATGTTTGTGAAAGATAAAAGGAAGATTGCTTCAAAGAATAAAGCAGGATATTTTTGACCTAGTCCATCTGACATGACTATTTTGATAGGTCTTAAAATGGCTATGTAGAAATGTTAAAACACTGCATCTTCTTACCAAGTGACATGCATGATCGACATCAGTGATCCTCACTCCATCTCTGACCCCTGCCTCAATACTTGTCCCATATCTGAACCTCAATCAATCTCTAACCCCATTACTGAGTTTGAGTTTCAACCCATTCTTCACTTCATCCATTTGTCATTACTTGGTAACACTATGTGTGTTATGTGTATACATATACACACACACATATGCCTGAAAGCTAAATGGTTTGTTTTTTCAAAAAGTCCTCACTGGAAGCAGAGACAGCAAAGATTAGAGTGGGTTAGACTTTCCCAAACGAGTATATTGTGGAGGAGATAATATGTATGTAGGAAAAAGTATGTCCATGGTCCAAAGTTTTGGAAATATTCAATTTTAAAAAGTTAACTAGATTTTACATCAGGACTTTTTAAACCTTTAATAGGCAGATGTGCCTTAAGAACTACCTAAAACAGGAGGTGGTGCACTATTTTCCTAATTCCTTTTTATCAAAAACACCTTTTGCATTTTCTTCATTTTCCTTTGATTCTCACACCAAGCTCCCAGAACTGTGGGAAACACTGAGCTTGGTATTTCTCCAAAAAAGCTTCTAAATCACTCTTAGATTAGTATTAAATTCTAAATCACTCTCAGAATAGTATTAGATTAGTTAGGTGGGTGGGTAGGAGTAGGAGAAGCAGCAATATACAGAACATTCAGAAATTTGGCATGTAAAACTCAAGGAGTGCCTGAAAATATGTAAATGTAATTCTGTAAAATCAGAAACAATAATTTCCTAACCACTCTACGATAAACCTTAATAAATTCTGAAGGAAGTTGATCACTAGGTAGAGCTGTACAATCTGTAGTCATCTGGATGAAAAATCCTCGGGCAGAACTAAAACTTGTTCTTAAAGGAAGATTATATTTTTCTCCAAGCTGTGATATCATTCCTAGTGATCAGAAAAACAAAAAACAAAATGAAGGAATTTTAATGAGAGAATTACTTTTTCTGTTTAAAGAAACATGTAATTTTTTTGGTATTTTATACGTAAGTAGGAATGTCTTGTTACTATTTCAAATGCTAATGACTTTGAATGTCCAAAAGCTGTGGTTAAGTATTCTTTTTAAAAAAATAAAAACCAAAAGCAATACAAAAGTACCCATTCTGATAAGTATTTTTTAAAGGAAAAGAAATGGCAAAAAATTTAAATTAAAAAGACAGAACAAAGACTATTCTGTAATATATGTGTTAGGAATATTAGGGTTTTTAACATATTCATTCCACTTCATATCATTTATTCCACTTTTTTTAAAAAGAGAAGAGAATAATCATATAAATTATAGTAATCATTAATTCCTAATTAGAACTTTCCTCTATAAAACATTTTACAATACAAAATATTCCAAAAAGTAAATAGATGATTCATCAAATAAAATTCCTAAAAAAATCTAAATCTTCCTATCAACTTCATGCTCACTTAACAATTCTAAATTTATATTTCTAACTTGATAATCATTAATACTTTGAACATTACTTTAAAAAAACTAGCATATTTATTATTCAAAACAGTTCCTCCTCCTAATTTTCCTGCTTTTCTCCCTGGTACCACCATTCTTAGGCTAGAAATCTCAATTAGCACTAATGGCTACATTTCTGTTTACTGTGGCCATATCTACTTAATTATTAACTCCTATCAATTTTTCCTTCAACTCTTGCATTCTTCTCTTCTCATATATATTGCTATCACCCTAAATAATGCTTTATTAACTTGTAATAATTTAAGCTGGTCTCCCTGTCTCCATTTCTCCACTCAAATTCATTCAATATATTTTCTTGATCTATTTTCAACCCACAGAACAAAAACATGTCAGTGTCTCTTCATTCTCCTTGGGAAAGAAATCCAAACTCTTGGTCTTCAGAGACTAAATTCTGGTCCCCAGTTTACATTTCTGATCTTATCTCTTATTACTTCTGTAAGAGAAAATGTCCTATTCCATGCCAACAGATTTGTTCACTCATTCTTCGAGGTTTCCCTGTGCCCCTCTGCTTCTGCTTGTACCACTGTCAGCAGGTAGAATTCCTCTCTAGGCTAATCCATCTACTAAAAACCTTCTCACCCGCTGTCCCTCCATACCCAGTCACTCTCTGTGCCCTCTAACCTGCTGGGTTTTTTTTCATATATTTTTTATCCATGTGAAATTATATGAATATATGATTGATATAATCAATATTGATGTACATATATATACATACATATATATGTACGTGTATGTGTTTGTTGCTTTATTGTCTGCCTCCCCTGCCATATATAAGCTCCATGAGGACAGGAATTTTGTCTTGTTTATTATGTATTTCCAGTATGTAGAACAGTGTCAACACGTAGTAGGAGCTCAATAAATATTTGTTAAAAGAATTACTGGACTGGCTCAAATGACACCTCTTTTAGATAAAAACGATATCTCTCCTGCCACTAGAACCTTCTAGTATTGACAGTCTACATTTTTCATAGAGCTTATATACAATGTTTTATGAAGGTAAGTCTATATTTAAGTTTGGAGGAAAGAGACACATTGCAACACTTTGACATCTTTATTTTTTTTAAAAGACGTTTCCTTAAATGGCAATATGTGTTAACCTTATGTTTTGGTAACAAAAATTAAATTAAAAATATGCATGGATAGTCTTCAGCAGCAATAAAAACATAGCATGTCCTAAAACATTTGTTTTTTTTTCCTAAAAAACAGAAAAATGTGATAAATAAATTACCTGCTATGTCATCTACAATCTCTGTATATGTTCTTCTAGCTATGTCAAGAAATTCATTTATGTTAGACCTCACTGCATAGCACTTCTGAGTCCTCATATTTAGGCAACCTTTCATGTATCTTGCATCATCATTAATTACTGTTTTAATTTTTTCAAGTATGATTCCAAACCTAACATTAAGACAGAAAAAGAACATTATAGGCATTAAGTCAGTTATTTTAATTTATAATTTGAATTGCAGTTAGTGATAACAAATTTTTGTTGAAAGTTATATTGAAATAAATAATTAAGCAATAAATACTTAAATTTACATAAGTTAGAGGTACAACTATGTCAATTTTAAACTATTTCATCAGTCAGGACTAGTCTAAAACAGCATGAGGCCACCGAAAAAAATTCTACATCTGCTAATAAATAGATCTTCCAAATTATACACACTGACTGTGCCTGTGAGTACACAATATGTCTCTAAAGAACTGTTATAAAACTTCTGGCTTCATACTCATTTACTCAATAAATATTTACTTACACCATGTATCAAGCACTGTTCTAGGTACAGAGATTCAAAGAAGGTCCCTGCTCTGAAGGTCCCTGCCCTCAGTAGAGGCGAGGGAGACTAAACACATATTGTGAAATGGTGTAATAGGAACCTCACAATTATCAGTGATCAAATGCAGTAATTAGGTAAACCAGAAATTTGGTAACATCTATTTTCCTAATCTTTCCTTTATTCCGTTCTGTATTTTATTTATAATTAAGCTGGCTTTATTGTTAACTTCAATTTGTGGCCTCACACGGGGTATAAATCTTCAATCAATAAAATAACAGTTCTTAAATATCACAAATCTTTTCAGTTCAGAACCAAGGTGCCACTGCCAATAATTTAACAATAGTAAGATTGAACTGTATTTAGATCTTATTCAATATTCATATATAATATTTTTGGTTACATTAGATCCTTCCTGATTGAACAAATGAAAGAAATATATTTTTATTTTTTGGCTTTCCATGGAGAATGGTTAAAAGGAGAAATATTAAAATTGGGCATGTATTTCAATTTTTCATGTTATTCTAATTGCCCATTAACACAGATAATCAATGTGTTGTTACCCTATTTGTTGTACTTGTAAGATGGAATGTATAATTAGAATTTTGATGAATAGTTTAAAGAGTCTATCAATCAAAACTCAGGTAATTGTTCTACAGAACACAATTAGAGTCTTTAAAATCAGTTATAATCAGGAAGAAAAGAATAATCTGATATTTTATTAAGTTGTGTGACAAAAACCTCTTGTCTTCCAAGGAACCATAGTAAGCTCTTAATAGAGGTGTGTTACAGTTCTTCAGAGCAATCTATGAAAGAATAAAATAAAAAAGAGTTAAAGTTAATAAATTATGACATCATTCAAACATAGCACTTTACATATGTTTAATACTTTACCAAGTGCTTTCTTGCTTCGTTTTCTCATTTATATACTCATAAAAAATATTTTAGGTATATTAAGTGAGGACAGATGGTATCCTTTCCATTTTCCAGATAAAAAGCAAATGACTAATAAGTGCCATCCACTGTTTCACCATTTTGACCTTTATTTTTCTTGTCTCTCAGCTAATTGTTAATATCCAACTACTTATAGAGGTAGGAATTAAACAACTACTGTTGTACATTTAGAGTATTCTACATAAATTCCAAAATTTGGGATAGATATACATTAAACCAAAAAAAGTGCTTTGTATATTCATAAATAGAGCAATTTCTCCATTCTTATATGGTAAAAGTAGGAATTTTGTTTTGTTTAATGAAAACTAAGAGTGGTCACCAACTGAATAAACAGAAAAGAGAAGAAAACATAGTTAACCCGATCTTTACCTCATATTTTAAAATGATATGAGGCAATGGCATGAATTTTTTTTGCTTTTGAATAGAAAATAATATGCACATACTGATAAAAACTATAAAATTAATAGAAGCATAAAGAAAAAAATAAGTCATAATTCTACTACCCTTCCAAAGATGAATACTCTAAATGTCATGGTATATTTCCTATCACTATCTGAAATTAAAAAATTTATACCATTGTATGTTTCTTACCCATTCCCACTCCCCATTTAATACAGGTGAGTACCCCTTATCCAAAATGCTAGAGATGAGAAGTGTTCCAGATTCTGGATTTTTTAAGATTTTGGAATATTTGCAAATATATAATGAGATGTCTTGGGGATAGAACCGAAGTCTAAACATGAAATTCATTTATGTTTCAAATATACCTTATACACACAGCCTGGCTTAATTTTATATAATATTTTTAATATTTGTTCACATAAAACAAGAGTTTGTATACATTGAACCATCAGAAAGCAAAGATGTCACTATCTCAGCCACCCATGTGGACGATCTGTGGTTGTTTGGCATCATCATCATTCCTGATCCTGAATTTTACATGCTACCAATAAATAATCATTTTCTTACACTTATTCACACATAAGTACTTAACAGTAAAAAAATGGCATACCATTAATACAGTGAAAAAATAACGAGTATAATCAGCACAGTAGTGTCACCAGAATACTTGTATTAGCGGTTAAACAACAGCAACAAACAATGGCACACTTTTGGTCTCTTAAGTCACTGTGTCCAAGCATTGGAAACAGCATGTATGACATCCTTCACACTAAATTCCTTTTGAAAACGCTTCACATCCATGCCTCTGTTCTCTGCTGTTAGCATGGTGTTCAAGAAAGTGTTTTTGTATTTACTCTTCATTGATTTGCTACCCTGCTAGTATGGCTGAATTAATGGAATCATGTTGAGGAGAAAATACATGACATAAACATATTTTCAATGAGAATTCCAGTTGAAGCATGAGCAAGACAGTTGTCAAGGAATAACAAAGTCTTGTAGTCATCATCCAGTCCAGCTTCCCTGCAGTAAGCACAAGCTACTGATACAAAACATATGTTAAACCAATCAGAAAAGAAGTCCTTGGTGATTCAAGCCTTTTTGTTAGCATAATAATGGACAAGTAAGAAATTCAATCCTCAGAAACAGTGAGGACACAAGCTTTTGCCTATAACAAGTTTATACTTACTCATGCCTGCTACATTAGCATATCCCAGCACAGTTACTCTGTCTTTGGCATCCTTAATTCCTGTAGGGGCTGTCTCATCAGCTGTAGTCAGTGTCTTTCTTGGGCAATAATGCCAAAATAGTGATGTTTCATCAGCATTACAGAGTTATTCTGGCATCAGATTTTCATCACTGATGATGACCCTGGCAAACTCACCAATGAATATCTCCAATGCAGATAATGCAGATCGGCAGCTGCGTTATCACCACAAATCTTTAAAAATTTAATTCCGTGTCTTTTCTTAATTTTCTGCAACCAGCATGTTGAATAGTAACAGTTCGCTTCAATTTCAGTTCACTGCAATAGATCTTTGCTTGTTTCATGAGTAGCATACCATTAAGTGGCATGTGTTCATTGTGATGCTGACAGATCCACTCTTTCAAGACAATCAAGATCTTCATTTTTAGCTTTATCTAATGTTTTGTTGTTTTTATTAACTTCTTTTTATCACTTTCAGGATAGAACACCAATAGTTTATCCTTCTGTTTCTTCAGGTCATATATGTTGGTCATTCCAACAGCATGCTATTCTGTAAAACGTTTCACACTTACACCACTGTCCAGTTTCTCTAATAGCTTGACTTTCTGTGTTACAGATAAACATAAATGCTTCCTTCTTCTGTTATCACAGTTACCTATAGGGGTATCTTGCAGGCATTTTTGACATTTTCAACAATATCTTTACACCACAGAGCAAAGACTAAGCAAAAAACACAGTGAGTAACGCATGTAGGTCTTGGCTCCATTTGGGGGCACTGGTGCATTGGTGCATTTGGCCAGCACAAATGCCATTTTATTACCATTTGTGGGTGTGTTTGCATGAAAGAAGGTGGGTGTGTGCAGAAAAGATATATCACAGCTGAAGGCGGTTGAGAGGACCTTTTTTCTGAATAAACTGTGTGTAGGGGTGCCTGCATTTTGACTGCAAACCATCACATGAGGTCAGGTGTGGAATTTTCCACTTGTGGTGTCCTGATGTCATTCTGGCACTCAAAAAGTTTCAGATTTTGGAGCATTTTGGATTTTCAGTTTAGGGATGCTCAACCTGTACTACATCATAAGTATGAGAAACTTTTCATGACAAAAATTTTTAATAATTCATAATATTTCACCCTGTGGAAAGCAAATACTCTCTTCTCCTAATTATTGGAGTTCTAATATATAGATATAAATAATGCTGCAATGACCATCATTGGCCATAAACCTTGGTCAACATCTCTGGAAAGCTTTTTCAGACAGATTTCTAGAAATAGTATTATAGGATCTAAAGATATATTTTGTGAATATTCCTTGTAAAGTGTGTACAATTCATATTCCTACCACCTGTTTAAGAACTTGTCTGTTGCACTGATTTCTAATTAGCAGAGAGTTACATCTATTAATAAAAATAAAAATCTCTCCTTTTGATAGATAAAAAATACGGTTTTAATTTGCATTTCTTTGATTAATAATAAGGTTAACATTTTTGGTACAATTTATTAATCACTTTGATTTACTTTTTTGAGTCATTTTCCATATTTCCATTGGCATTCTTGTATTTTCGTGTGAAACTGTATGAGTTTTATGATGACAGAAATTAGTATTTTGTCTGTCATCTGTTACAAATTTTTCCTTTCTTTGCCTTTTACTTTGCTTGTGACATACCAAAGTTTAAAATTTGTTTCATCAAATCTATCAATATTTTTTTGGTTGATTTATTCCACCTCTTTTGTTATGAGAAATGTGATAACATTTTTGAAATATTTTGTCAAAGTATTCTCATCATATTTATTAGAATGATCACTATAATAAGATTCTTCCATATGTTTCATTATTTTTTCTTTTTAAAAAGCTATTTCTTTTTATCAATTTGATAAAAAAAAATGCTTTGCACAGTGCAGTACTTAAAAATTGATGAGAAAATCACCATTTTGTAACTATCAGAGTAAAAATTACTTCAGGGAAGAGTCATCAATAAATTCTAAAATCAATGGGTGAAAATTTGATAAGGAACAAGGTTGTTTACACATTCTCAAAGTATCCATAGATTACTTACTTATTAATTACAAAAGATTAATTACAAAAGATAGATTTATAGTGAAGAAACCGATCAAAGTTAACATCATGAAGAACAGGGAAATGACATCATGTGCCTCCTGATGTGATACACTGGGAAGGCTACAATATTGCTCATAGAGTGTTACTGCTAAATATGTATAAGATGAATTTTTTTAGTAAGATGAATTTAATCATGAGGACACAATCACACAAACTGAGGAACATCTTATAAGACAACTGGTCCTCACACTTCAAAATGTCAAAATCAAAAGGCTTAGAAATTTTTCTAGTTTAATGAGTTTAAAGAAACATGACATTAAATATAATACATGGTCCTGGATTGGACCTTGTATCAGAAAATAAAATGCTTCTAAGAACATTATTAGGACAATTGGATATATACCATACAATAGTATTGTATCAATATTAAATATACTGAATTTGATAATAATATTGTGGTTATTAATATATAAAAAATATCCTTGTTCTTAGGAAGCATGCATTTTAGTATGTAGGTACTGCAACATATTCTCAAGTGGTTCAGAAAAAATAATAAGGATAATAATCTTTATGTGTGTGCTGTATACATAAAGAGAAAAAATATAGGGAATTTATTATGTTCTTCTTGAAACTTTCTCTAAGTTCAAAATTTTTTCTAAACAAAAAGTTTAAAAAATGATGCTGGACATGTTTAGTATGATACCCACATGTATAAATTACCTTTAAAGAATCCACAAGTTCCAAGGTATGTTTTAGGTATATTAAATTTGTTATCTTTGATTCAGCTGCATTGACCTGTTAAGATAAAAATCCAAACGTGGACATCATAAATACTTAATACAAGAATGGATTTTCCTCTTGAACATTCTACTCTTATCATATTCCATATATTTTTATATATCCGTCTGGCTAGGATGCCAGCCTAGAGAATGATTAGCAATTCCTGACCCACCATAATACACCTAGTGCACTAGTCTCCCGAAAGTCTGACAATGAGTTGAGTTCACCTCATTGTATCCAACTTTCATTTCTATTTCAGTCCCTTGGGTCCAATTTAAACTGCAAAAGCAAAAGGAGATACAGTTCAATCCTGAGCAGCATCAAGAGACTAAAACTAACTGAAAAAGGCACAAAAGATATTTGTGGATGGATGATATCCACATCTCTGTGGCTGAATCCAAATCCTCTGGACAGTTACAGAACAACATAAATTTCCCTCATTGGTTCCTGTTTGTGCAAGTAAAATAATTTTCATAATTCCAGTAGTCTAAATTAATCACAGTTTTTCAAAATAAAGCAACATCAACATTCTAAATCTCATGAATTAACTTTATATAAATAAATAACACTCTCTCTAGAGTTGCGCAATGGTACCGAACCTGGTGAAATGAGGAATGTTCTTGTGCATGGAGTAATTTATGAATAGACAGAAGGAGTGGGTTTTCAGGATATTACAATTATGACGTGACGTACTTGATATGGGGCTATTTCTTTTTGAGGTAACCTGATCTATATTGCCACTACACAATACCTGGACTGTTCTACGACCATATGGGTCAGTTTAGAAGTAAAGTCATAATGAATGTTGTTAGCCCCCAAAAGGGTTATCTCATGTTTTCTTAGGTGGATTTTTGAAATTAGCTGGAATATTAAAAATAAATAAAATTTACCAAACAGAAGATAACTATCATCACTCTCACCAATGAAGAATACTTCCAAAAATAGCCAACACACTCTTGAAGAAGAAAAAGGTGGAAGACTAACTGTGCTGAATATATCAACTTGCAATAAAATTACAGTAATTAAGAAACTGTGGTATTGGCACAAGGAAAGACAGATCAACGGAACAGAATAAAGAGTCTAGAAACAGATTCAAGCATATATGATTCTCATCAGGTTTCTCATTAACAGAGAAAGGAATTACTAAAATGGAAAGGGAGAAAACTAGTTATCAACTTGTGATGATGAAGGGAAATTGGAGGTATTGGTGTGAATTCGCAGTTTTCTAGTATACAGATGAATATAGAAATAAATATAGAGGTAAATGTGTATATTTATACATTTATTTATATACATACCCTTATTCCCTAGCCATGAGAGGGTTTGGAGAAGTGATATCCCAACAGCAGTAAGTACATCTAGTATCCAAAGCTTGATTTTTAATTATTGTTCCCTATTAAAATGAAACAGGATTCGTGGGAGAAATAGCTGGTTCAAAGGCTGGGGCAGGCAAAGTACAAGAAAAGCTTGGTTCATTTACTTGAGTCAGAAAGTGATGAAGTTCTCAAAGAATGGTGGATGCATATCCAAAGGACACAGAAGAAAATTAGAAGGGGCTTGCACTGGTCAAATCTGAGATAATTGGAGAATCAAAATAAATATTGATAGCAATGGAATATAACCAACTGAATAAAATGTGAAACCATGAGTCCATGTGGATTAAATACATAAATATACTGAAAGTTGGATGAGGAATAGAAAATTTACATGGTTTCAAAGTACTTCCCCACAAAATATTTATTAATTACATAGGA